TTAAAAGTCAATCCTTGGTTGCCTTTGCGCCACATTGCGGCACTTTGTATTCATTTCCTCTGCATGTTGTGTTTTCTTGTAAAGATAAGACAAAATACCAGTTTAATTCATTTTCATTTCATTTTGGGACCAAAGTTAGGCTCAGGGCTACCTAACACCTGCCTTTTCAGTTGGATTTTCAGTGTCAAATTCTTTGTATTTAGAGTATCTCAGACCACATCTCAAGACTCGAGGCCAGTTTCCAAACAATGTGTTTTGTGTTGTTTTGATTCTGCCTTTTGCCTAGGGAATGTTGCCATGAACATTTATTTATTTTAGTTATTGTATTATGCCTATTACCTACCATTTAACTTACTAATTGGTTGTGCTTTTGCAACATGAATGAGTATTCTTTGTCTTCCTTTGATAGACCACAGTAGATTCTTGACAATTCTAATTAGAGCCAAACCTGTGAAATGCTGAGGTTCATGTGTTACCCCTACCCTTAGCAATGGAACTTCTAGCACAAAATGTATTTTGCAGTGGCTAAGATTGCTGTTATTACAATTCGATAGCCTCTTAGTGTCCAAAGTTTGAATCATATGCTGATAATTTTTTTTGTGCAAAATCAAAAATACCGGCATGCTACCGGCAAGACATGCCAGATACCACGAAAAAACCTGCGGTAGTGAAAAATTACCGGCATGCCGGTAGTGCGGTAGGGAAATTTTGCAACTCTAACCTGCACATTAATTGTTTTGGTCCGGGGAGGAGGTCTGCAGACAGTTGAAAACTGATAATAAATTCATGGCAAGATTGACGTCAACAAGTAACGCCGCCAGTCTTCTGCGAAAAAAGCATTCATTTGATAACCACACATATCGTCTCGATCACATACCTACTCAGGAAATGACCCACCTTCGTCCACCGGCAGTTGGATTTCAAACGGTTGATGTGCTTCTGTCAGGGTTCTGGCAAACAGCTCCACAGGGACGACAGAAACCGGCCAGGAGTTGGTGCCCTGGCGTGCATTTGCACAGAGCAGTGGCGTCAGTCGGTAAAGTTTCTATGGTACACGGCTAATGACGCTCCATCAGCCTAATGGGGAATCGGCAGCCGACGCCGCAGTACAGGCACCATGGTCTGTACCGACCGTGTCACGCTTTCAGTCCTGATTGGTGACCGTGAGCCGAACAGCCCTATGACTCTTTTAGGCCTGGAGGTAGTGTTGTACTAATGGTTGTCGGTATACACAGTGAGTAAATTCGTAGGTGTACTTACAAAGAGATCAATCCGTCAGTTATCAGCGAAGGAAACGTCACAACTCGCATTAGGATTGCTTCAGTAAGTGATCAAGAGTAGATAGGCTTGCAACATGTAGAAGTTGCACGTGTTGAACAATATAATTAGAGCCAAACCTGTGAAATGCTGAGGTTCATGTGTTACCCCTACCCTTAGCAATGGAACTTCTACCACAAAATGTATTTTGCAGTGGCTAAGATTGCTGTTATTACAATTCGATAGCCTCTTAGTGTCCAAAGTTTGAATCATATGCTGATAATTTTTTTTTGTGCAAAATCAAAAATACCGGCATGCTACCGGCAAGACATGCCAGATACCACGAAAAAACCTGCGGTAGTGAAAAATTACCGGCATGCCGGTAGTGCGGTAGGGAAATTTTGCAACTCTAACCTGCACATTAATTGTTTTGGTCCGGGGAGGAGGTCTGCAGACAGTTGAAAACTGATAATAAATTCATGGCAAGATTGACGTCAACAAGTAACGCCGCCAGTCTTCTGCGAAAAAAGCATTCATTTGATAACCACACATATCGTCTCGATCACATACCTACTCAGGAAATGACCCACCTTCGTCCACCGGCAGTTGGATTTCAAACGGTTGATGTGCTTCTGTCAGGGTTCTGGCAAACAGCTCCACAGGGACGACAGAAACCGGCCAGGAGTTGGTGCCCTGGCGTGCATTTGCACAGAGCAGTGGCGTCAGTCGGTAAAGTTTCTATGGTACACGGCTTATGACGCCCATCAGCCTAATGGGGAATCGGCAGCCGACGCCGCAGTACAGGCACCATGGTCTGTACCGACCGTGTCACGCTTTCAGTCCTGATTGGTGACCGTGAGCCGAACAGCCCTATGACTCTTTTAGGCCTAGAGGTAGTGTTGTACTAATGGTTGTCGGTATACACAGTGAGTAAATTCGTAGGTGTACTTACAAAGAGATCAATCCGTCAGTTATCAGCGAAGGAAACGTCACAACTCGCATTAGGATTGCTTCAGTAAGTGATCAAGAGTAGATAGGCTTGCAACATGTAGAAGTTGCACGTGTTGAACAATATCGGAAACTGTCATAAATGTGTTCGTCTTTGCAAACACATCATGGGTAGGACATGTGACGGTTGCGATGACAGGACGCGCCGCTGTCCGTGCGTTACCGCCGTGTGCCGGGCTGTCCATTGTTCCCCCACTGACGTCAAAGGTCACGACCGGAGCGACCCGAGGCTGGCACGGCGCCGGCCGCAGCGTGCCGGCGGGCCTGTGTGCACAGAGGACGACAGCAGGGGCTTCCTGTCCCCGTCAACATGCCATATTGATGGACTGGAAGCCAAAATGTCAGGTGCACCTGCCACCTTTGCCATGACATTTGCAAAAAAAAAAAGATTTATTCTGTTCGTTGTGTAGGGCTTCTACGCCTTCTTCCATCGTTCGCCATTCCCACTTCGGCTAGCCATTCTAATACCAACTTTAACTTTGTCTTTAAAAAATCCACCATCCAGTGTTGACCGTCGCAGTCCATCGCCGACGGGATTCCGTCCGCCGGTCCACTTAATATCATTCCCATTCCACACTCTGCACAGTCCACCGTCCACCACCATACGTCCACCACAGTCCACCGTCCACCACCATACGTCCACCACAGCCGCCCACCCCCGTTTTCCAGTCTTCCGTCTAATCCCCGCTGAGTTCGCCCGCAGCCGCTAAGTGGCCGGCCTTCTCGGCCCGTCGTTAATAATGCAGCAAAACGGGCGGTGGGGCCGCTCGGCGGGGCCTTCCGTCCGGAGGTGGCCCCCATTAGCCAGCTCTGCCCAGGACGCGGCGGCACACGAGCACGCTGAACGCTCGGTTTGTGAGCCAAACTGGGAACGTGCGAGCTACCTGCTGTCTCAGCGGTCAACTGCGTGTTTCCTTTAAATTAGTTCACCTGCAGATTAGGTGTGACGTAATTTTTACAGCCGGTAGCACGAGGCCACGCCAGCACGGAAAACGAAACTTGTTGACGCACAGTTGACAGGATGGGGGCATTGCATTGGGAGAATGAGACAAAGAAGACATGGGTCTACAGCTCGTTCACAAGGCGTCTGACTCAAGCTGCATGCACGTAAAGGTGACGTAACGTCCAAGGAACAAACTCTCTCATCTAAAATTACACGTTCCTTCGGGAATTCTTGATTAGGCACAGCAAACTTGGGCCTTAAAACATCGAATTACGCCTGTCTCTCGCTGGTATTGCAGAGGAAGTTGGAACATTGCGCAAAAATTAGACGGGTCGTTTCCATTACCTTCATTTGCAACAAAACTTTCGAGCCTCATATGGACGGTTCTCAGCGAGACTTTGGCATGTGCTCTGATACTGTAAAATGCATTTGGAGGGTGATGGAAATAAAATTGTAGGTAGGCTTTCTTTTCAGTTGCTTATTAGCTCCAATCTACAGCTGGTTTAACTGCGACAATGAGCGATACACTGTAAAAATGTCGGTTAACCCTCGCCGGCACAGGGGAGGGGGGTTGATGCAACCCCCCCTAAGGTTTTTCGCGAATAAATCGCGTAAAAAGCAGCGGATCGCGACAAAACTTTCAGTACCCTCGCATTGATCAATTTTACACCTACCCTGAAAATTTCATGACCCTGGCCCAAATGACCTTTGACCTGTGACCTCTTTTCCGAGACCATGTTTGGCCGGAATCGCGATTCGGAGTATGTCGGCTCGCATTAGCCGCGCGTTTGCAAGCTTTTCGTGGTTTCAAACGTTCAAACATGTGATTTGACGTTGCTCCCATACATTAGGGTGGGTGTCAAGGTCACCTGAAGGTCAGGTCAGGTCATTGACCTTTGGTGACCTCGGGTGACCTCGGTTCAATTTTTCGAGTTTTACATGTTTCTAGGCTAGTTTTTGGAGCTGAATTCGAATTTATCAACCATTTGAACATTTACGAAGTAGTTTTGGTGCCTTCGTAACATGTTACGAAGCTGTCAGAGGCGGTTGGCACGTATTACGAATACCCGTCACAACCCCTACCGGTTGACCTGACCTGACCTGACCCGACCTGGTCTAAATGCTTAAAGACATCATCTCTGATCAAAACTAACACGATATTCGTGATCAGCACCCCGGAAAACCACATAGCAGCCACATTTTACGACTTTCTAACAGGTCCCGATTTTCCCGCTTTCGGGTCATTGACCTGACCTGGAAGGTCACCCGATGACCTAGGACCTTAAAATTGGGTATCATTGGCTTCCTCTCGTGACGGGCAACACGCTCGTTTTTTCCGCAAAGCTCTAGCTCGATCAGGGGCCAAACGCGAGGGGGGGTCGTACCAACCCCCCCCCCCCTTGTGCCGTCGAAGGACGCAAAATGGCCTGTGCCGGCGAGGGTTAAAGCCACTGACCAATAGCCAGCAGTTAGGTGTTGTTATGACGGTACGACTTTGTCGAAATCGCCAGCGGGCTTATAGGGCCCAATGCTCGTTATCTGAACGCCGATGAACAATGCAGTGTTTTGCCACGGTAAAAAGGAGGTAATAAATGTTTTATGAATGGCGTATGTAAAGACGGATTTGTGCGTATGCCGTATATAAGGTGTATGATTCTGACACGGTGCGGGGTGCCTGAATATGATCTGTGTGAAAACTATGCAAAAACTCGTGTTCGTTAATTCCATTTCCACAGTTTATCGAGGAAGACGTCCAGTAAAAACGCCAACCACGTATTGGTCTCTTTTCCAGGGATGCAGAACCTGAGCATCTCGTGCGCGCTGGTGAGCCTGATCCTGCTGGTGGCCTCGGCCCTGGTCGGACTGTTTGGCGTGCTGCAGAAGCAGAACTCGGCTGTGCTCATCACCGGCTTCATGTACCTCATGGCAGGTCAGTCCGGGCCGGCAGCGGCGCGAGGGTCTGATGGAGCGGCAGTTGGCAGCTGTGAGCCGTAAGGGTCTTGTGGCAGGTCAGTCCTGGTCGTCTAATGCGCGAGGGTCTGCTAAAATTGGCACAACATGGGCCTGTCGTCTATGTACATTCAGTACGGGTGACAGATGACAGGTCAGTTGTGTGTCTGATGGCCGGTCAGTTGTGTGTCTGATGGCCGGTCAGTTGTGTGTCTAATGGCCGGTCAGTTGTGTGTCTGATGGCCGGTCAGCCCGGTCAGCCGTCGCTCGTCACCTCCGAAGGCATGTCCGTCCTGATGTGTATGTGTGTGGGTGTCTTGTGCGTCGGACGGTAGCTCACCGCGCACTAAGTGGGCGTCTGAGAAAGTCCTGTCACTCTGGTATGTTTGATGTTAATGATCGCCCGGTACTTGTATCGTGAACTTTGTCATCATCCGTAGTTACTTTCAAGTTTCAATGCAATCTTCCCTTTGACTATGCACCTTGCACAGTTATACAGCGTGATCATTGCTAAGCGTGATCCAGCATTCTTTAACCTTTAAGGTGGTACTAACCATCGCTTTGGAAGGAATGCTCACCCAGTGCGATGAGACATTCAAAATGCATATTTAATATCACTTTCGGGAAATAAATGTCGTCAGTATACGCGACACACATTCCTGTGGGAACCATGCGCTTAGAAACGAGGCAATCACAGTTAACGGCAGTAGGGGAAGGTGGGGTAAGACGGCCCAGCGGGGCAAGACGGACCACCAGCCCTCCCGGCTGAACCGCTGCTGGTATCTACTGCTTTATGCACTCACTATGTTTGTTTTCCTTCGTAACAATGGCCACCTTGAGCTCATGCTGCTAGGATGCATAGCTAGTTTTGAGTTATTGAGAAAAAATGTTGTTTTTCGTCAAACCGATCTAATATAAGAGGTCTACGGGTGATTCAATTACGGCGCCTTTCTTGCATGATTAGTTTCTATTTTGCACTTAACTGTGAAGAACAAAGTTATAAACTTAGTTATAGTCACACTTTAGGAAAGGCAAGGTTTTGCAATGTTGGGCTATTTGACATATACGTCATGATAATGACAGAATTTAGATTTGGGGCAAGACGGACCACTGTGGTCCATCTTACCCTGTGGTGGTCCATTGTACCCTGCATATGGAAAGTTCTTTTCCAAAACATTGACACAAGTTTAAAGTGACCATCCCACCTTAACATTAGTTTTGAGTTGAGATAGCCAAATTGGTGGCCATGGCCTGAAAATACCGGTTTGGGCACTCACAACATCGAAAAATGCTTTAATTCGGAGATATGGAATTTCAAACTTGCAGTTTTCGGATTCTAAGGGGCTAATGCATTGGTATGCCCCCTTAGAATTTGTGACGTCAGCGGAGGTCTAACAGTTTTTAAATCTTTTACTAAAACGTTTGGTAGCACGCGGTGGTATATGCTGCTTTGCGCGCAACAAATGCCGCACTTTCAAATAAAGTCGCTAGGAACAGCGGAGATCCCAAAAAGTAAACAAAAGTAAAAGTCTAATATCTTGAAAATCGGTGAATATTTTTCGATGAAATTTGGTACATATTCGTTTTCGCTCTTTCTGAACCGAGCGACATCACTTTCATGCCAATTCATTAACTTTTTTGAAGGTGGGAGGGTCCCTTTAAGTAAGCTAATTTTTCAGGAAGGAGTCTTTGTTGCATGTGAGCCATGCATCCAAGTGCTCAGTTAGCATGCATTCATGCCAAACGACAATCAACACACATGTTCCCAGCTTTTAGCTGCACTTCCATCACACATGAGTAAAGAATAAAGGCTCATTTTGTTATTTTACCATTCTGGTTACTTTTTCTTACAAGAGTACAGAGCAGAAGTGTAACACACATGAACGGATAGCAGGCACTGCTGGGTGGTCCGTCTTACCCCACGTTTTTTCTTGTCTGAGTTTTTGACATGTCCCTCTTTAAGAGCATCCACCACCTAGATGTCTTTAATTTGAAATTTAGTCTTTACACATATCAACAGAGGAAGGATTGAGCATTCCGAAGACTATAAATAATATGAATTACGAGAGCAGTGTAGCAAGATATGCGGCCTCAAACCTTAGCTGGTCCGTCTTACCCCACCTTCCCCTATGCATTATGTACGTAGGTGCTTGTGGTATTTAAGCTGACTTACAATTAACAAGAATCTCAAATTCATGACACTTCGTTCAAGCGTTTCACCAAAATGATTCTTATTCTCGAAAAAAGGAGAAAAGAACAGGAATGCACATGCATAGCTTTGTCCGTCCAGATCGTCTTCATGTAGGTATTAGGCTCTAACACTATACTTGAGAGCATTATCTTTGCGCACTAAATTTGGGCCAAAAGAGCGCTGAATGAGTTCTAAGGTCTAAATATAGCGGAGCAGCGCCGTTGGAAGCCGCTGCGCCCATCGCTGTTGTCCATTTTCAGAGCTCACAGAGGGTCGATAGAGTCGTTTTCGCCGGGCTCGGGAGACAGTCGGTGGGGTTGGCGGGGCTGGCGGGGGCAGGTGCGACCTTGCCGACGCCGGCGACCGGCTGGCACGGCGTGACACCCGGCTCACGGTCCCCTCCCCTCCCACGCGCGCGAGCCGCCACCGCAGGTCGATCACGGGTCGACACCGGCCGGCGGCCGCCACCAGTCCTTTATCGGAGTCATTAGCGGACGGACGGATGGCCGCGACTCGGTCCCGACGCCCGACATGTTCCGCTACTCCAACCCGCTCCTTCCTACCGACGACGGTCCGCCTCTTCCAGCGCGCACCTCTGAGGTGCCCGCTTCTGTGGCATCTCCAGCAGCATGGAACCCACAGCTCTGACAATGCAGCGCGCTGCCTGTCCGTCCAGCTCGGTTGCAGCCCCCAGTTCTGTGGGTCGCGGAACTGCGGACTCGGGCTGCCTGCTCCGCCCAGCTTGGTAGCACATCCATAGCTCTGCGGCCTGCTGGTCGCGGAACTGCGGGCTCATGCTGCCTGTTCCGCCCGGTGCGGCAGTGCATCTCCCCAGTTGCGCGGGTCGTGAGGCTGGGGGCTCGACATGGGGCGGTGACAAAGGATCGTCTGTCGTGGGTAGGCGATGTTTCATTTAAGAGGTAATGGAGCCGGCGTATGCGCGCGCCGACCTCCTCAGACGGCCGGTTCCTAGGACGGCGAAAATAGGAACGGGCAGTCTTCTAGAAGCCGCTCGTAATTCATAAATGACTGATGATGGGGATGCGAGGGTGCGCAGGGGGTGGGGTTTCTATCAAAAGCGTTGTAATGAGATGGCGACCAGCCAGCCGTTTTTTTTTTTTACCAACCTATGCCTTATTCGACGTGATATTTTACATTGAGAAAAATGTTTTACATTCGTAAAATTTGTAAGCTAATGATCACTTAAAGTCAGAATGCTCACCTGTCAGATCATCGGGCCAAATATAGCCGTTCAGTAGTGACAACAGGGCAGGCAATGACCGGGAACATTTTAGCAAGACGCAAGGACGACTAGCATTGTATGTATGTACGTATACATGAAGGCATGATATTCTCGTTATCAACATAGTGCAGCAGTAATTCTCTAAAGAGACGGAATTCAGAGGAGCCCCGATCGTTCTGAAGCCCCTGTGCGGGCCGGAGATTGGCTCCATCCGATGACAGCTGATTTGTGTGGCAGTTATGACAGTGTCAACGGTGTCGGGCCAGCACGTGCTGGCATCCTGCCACAGGTTCAGTTCACAGCGCCAGGTTCAGATCACTGGGAAGTAACAGCAGTCATTCGAACGTTAAACGCATACACACAAATATGTACCGTTTATGTACGCAAGCAAGTATCTACCACAATGAATGATCGCGGTAATGTTGCAATATTCAGACCGCATTAGTAGGTAGGTACCTATTGAGAAGCTGCGATATATGAAATGCATATCGAAAACATAGCACAACGAAGAGATGGACCCTGGGCCTGGTCAGAACCAGATGGTTTGACAAATCTGCCATTCTAGAATGTCGTTGCTGCCTAAAGATTTATTGAAATCATAAAATATCAACCATGCATGGTCTTATTAGACATAATTGAAAAAAGCTATTTGTTATTCGTTTGATGGCTTCAACCAATCATTACCTCCGAGGGCAATTGGAAGTTTTATTAGCTTTCGCTCGGACCTTGGCTTCAGGTATCACCGATTCAGGTATCACCGATTCAGGCTGCCACCTGCAACTGGTCATTTTACGACATTGAGTTAGCTCGGAAAGTGGCGGTTCCGGGGTCAGTTCGTTCCGATTTGGAGTGCCGTCAGCTAACCGACCACCGTCTGTTTCAGCCATTTTCTCCACCTTCAGCTTCTCAATAATTCACTTCAAGCGCAAAACGAAGCGCGACTGCGGGGTGCTGGACTCGCAGATCACGCACGAGTTTTACAACAGCCGCACGTTCCAGCCAGGTGAGCGGGCTGTGCGCCGCCGGTGTGGCGCGGCTGGTCCGGAGAGGTGCCATTTGTCTCAGCTCTGGGCCGGGGAGGGAGCCGGCCGCGCCGCCTGGTGAGGGGACCCGGCAGCTCGGAGAGGCCGACCGGGGCGCCGTCTGGCCTGCTCAGGTCGCCTGTGGTTAGTGGAACGCTTGTGGGATGAATTGATACAATTTACGATGCACGGACAACCTGATGCAACTTTTTTAACGTCAGGGCTTGCCGGGTAATGGGTTGAATAGAAACTTCTCTGTCAGTGTTCTGGCTCCCTCGAGCCGCCTGGATTTAGTACCGACGTTCCACTCAGCCGTAACAGTCGCACTGGGTCCGCCGCCCTCGGTCAGTTGACGATTATTAGCGATCGGCAATATTCGGCTCTGGTGGCCGACATTGCCCGTGTCCAAACGGACCGTTTTAGACCGGCTGTCCAGCGATCCGTTTGGTAGGTATATGACCGATATCGCCACAGACGAACGAGCACCGGCCGGGTCATGTGTTTACCGAACGGCAGTTGGATCAATACCGTGGGCGTTTGATTCACGATGATTCACTGTCTCGGTGAAATGCCAGGGGGTGAGCTGCTGCGTTTTAACAGCGCGCGCGTGTGTCCGGCAGGCTGGTCACTGCAGATCGGCTGGACGGGCGTCACCATCTGCCTCACGGCCAGCCTCTCTTGGATCCTGCTGGCCCGCTTCATGCGCTACACGCCTGGCTCGTCCCTGCTGAGCTACTGAGCTAACGAGCGCCCGACTCCTCCCTGCTGAGCTACTGAGCTAACGAGCGAGTCGCCTCGTCCCTGCTGAGCTACTGAGCGCCTGGCTCGCTACTGAGCGCCTGGCTCGTCCCTGCTGAGCTACTGAGCTAACGAGCGCCCGACTCCTCCCTGCTGAGCTACTGAGCTAACGAGCGCCCGACTCCTCCCTGCTGAGCTACTGAGCTAACGAGCGAGTCGGCTCGTCCCTGCTGAGCTACTGAGCGCGGGAGACCGGCTCTGAGAGACAGCTCAGGACCACAACACGGCGACGACAGGAGTGTCCCGGAGGACGTCAACTTTCGAGCCGGCAAACAACTCCAGATGAGCGGCCGTATCGACGTCAAACTCCAGACCGGCTCACTCATCTAACTCCCGAGTGACACTGGGTGTGCCAATTCGGCCTACTCGGAGCGATCTCGGAGTACGCGAAGATGCGCGCCCTCGAAGATACGGCTGCATACGGATCACCTGGCGTCCGTCGGCACGGGAGTTACCGAATTGGGGGCCGACGCTCGCATCTGATCCCGCCGATCGGGTCCCGGGGGAGGCTGACAGAGGCCCGATACGCTCCAAAGGCGGCAGGTAATGCCTCTCTGAGCCCGGTGCGGAGAGGAGGCTGCATGAATAGAACATGTGCCGGAGTCTCGGAGCGGCGAGCGGCGGCCGCGGGGGCGTGCCGTGCACTGCGCCCAGTTGGTTCAGTGAAAACACCGAAACGCTCCAGAAAGACGGGAGATGGACGGGTTGCGGACGTGGAACGAGAGCAGGAAAAGAGCGGACGAGTGGTTAGACCGGAGGTGACACGGGCGAGAGACTGGTGGGGCGGTGAAGTTGTGTAGGTAAGACGAGGCAGAGACCTTTTTTGAGGGAAAGCGACATCCTGCGTCGCTGTTTGACAACGTGTTGTCGGCGTTCAAAGGCTCCGTTTATCTATGAATGTCTTCTGTGATGAATTAGCAAATAGTGAGACAAGGAACCAATTCCAGCTGTTTGAAAAGGCGAACCTGAGTATTGCACTATCAGTCACAGTGCAATTGAGATAAGTTATGTCAATCGCCCTGACATAATGTCTGACTGAAGTGCTTTTAAGGTTCTAATATGCTGAATATGTTCGCTATCGAATATGTTCGATATTACCCAGGTGCTATGAGTATCTGTCTACCAAGGGATTGGTGTGGGATATATATGACCGCTATTATATAGCCCACAGCTATATACAGCCCCGACGCAGCTATAGCTGGCGAGAGAGGAATCAGCACATTTACCATCGACGTTCATGAAATAATCGGTGAACTTTTAAGTGCAATATTACACCGATTATGGAGAATTGGTAATATCTGGATTCTGACCCCGCCGTCTTCGCATGTTTTATTGCGTTCATTCATCGTCGTGTTGATGCCTATTCGATACCGCTGATTTGCTAACGCCTGTTTCGCCAAAAGGTAATGTTACGTGCATAATTCGTTAAATAGGTAAGCTAAGCATATCAGTCGCCTAAATATTGGTAGACTTGGGAAATACAATGCCTGGTGTTATGGTTTATTACCGTTAATGAAATTATCACAAAAAAAAATTAAAATTACCTTTGTTTTTTCACGAAATAGATCCCCTTTGAAAGAATGGGACCAAAAGTCGCCAGTGCCCCCCCCCCCTTAATTGAAGGTGTTCCGCCGCTACTGGCCATCAATGCCCAATGGTATACCCAGCACCAGACGAATTTTCCGGGATAAATAAGCCACTGCTTCCTCGCGACTTGCCGATTGCTTACATACATCAGAGCCAGGGCTAACATTAGGTACCTAATAGGTACCTAACATTAGGTACCTAATAACATTAGGTACCTAACATTAGGTACCTAATGTATGTACCTACAACTTTACGGAAACACACTGCACGGCGTCCCTATGTATAGTGGTAGCCCGCGCATGACTAGGGGAGGGGCTACAGAGTCCCTCTCCCGTTTTCTGCAAAATTATTAGCTTCTAAATCGCAGGATGCATCGAGACAAAACTTTCAGTAGCTTCGACTTCATCAAGTTAACACGTTGTGTTCAAAGAAAAGCTTCGTAGTTACCATGGGCCGATCGGAAATGTCATAGTGGCGTCGTAATGGGCCGATTTTGATGCAATACCAAGAGCCTATTAACTAGCACCAATTTCTTTGTATGAGAGGACTCACAATACTCAGGGTTATCAAACTGTTATGTCTGACTTTTAAAATGATACCACTTTAGGATCTTAGATAACATATACATTTTACAATCTCAAAAACTTTAATTTTGAAATGTTAACCAATAAATTTTTGACTTTTCGAGAAAAAAAAACGGACCATATGTGAGAATAGGTAGGTACACACCGATGACATAGGTACCTACCTACTGTAGAAGATTAAGCCCGATATTAAAAAAGACCAAATTATCCGCTTTTACATCTTATCGTAGCAAAAAATCACCATTTTCAATTCAACTTCACTTTTCAGTTCGTTCAAGACATCGTACACCATAACAAATAGCACCATCATGTTTCTGAGCTCAAACTGGATCTCATACCTACTCTTTTTTTGTGTGTGAAAAATATCAACTTCAAAATTTTACCTTTTTTATCTAATAGTGTCCTGACCTTCGCTATAGTTATGCAGCTGAAAATGGATTCGATGACACAGACGACACTTGTTTAAAATGTATGACTGAAATAGACCATGAAACATGAGTCACGTGACCCATATGTGAATTAAAATTTCCGTGACCTAGCATGACCATACGATGTATATGTACAAGCTCGGTACTTTCAGTGTATCTTAAGCACACATTCACCAAATGCCCTAAATGCCCCCCCCCCTCGGATCCGCCAGTGAGCCCAGCCAAAGGCCCAAGAACCACACTACTTGTCAGCTCTGTTATTTAACTGACCGACAGTTGTCCAGTTGACCGATATCGTACCCTGTTATCAGCTAACGTCCCCCGGAGCGCAGCCGGCGCGGCTCAGGGCCTCCGGACGGACGGCTCGGGACGGCCTCCGCCGAGAGGTTGTTTATCCGCCGTCCAGTTGCCAGCCCCCGATAGCCGCCGGTTGGACGTGTCCGTCCAGCGGCAGACTGCAGAGGGGCAGCGACCGACATGGCCGTGCCGCTGCTGCCGCTGCTGGGCCTCCTCCTGCTGGCCGTACTGCTGGTGTGGGGCTGGCGGACCACCAGACGACCGGCGTGGGCACCTCACGGTCAGTACTTTACCTACAGGGTCCACTGCTCAGGCCAACCGTTTCGTTGTTTCCGTCCTCAGGATAGTCAAACTCAAATCCTTCTCCTCCACGCCTCGACCCCCTGCTCCGGGCTGGACAGGCAACTTTATCCCATGCGGGAAGCTCCCAGTCCCAGAGGAGCAAACCTGTAGCCGGGTGTAGTGAGTGTTAGAGTGCTGGGTGTCCTGTGTCTTCTGGATGGGCTCAGCCCCGACGACTCACTATGGTGCCCGCCCAGACCAATGTCTCCCCCTAATTCCTGTCATCGTTCCGGCTCTGAAATGGTCTCGTCAGACCGAAAGAGCTTACCTTCCCCCCCCCCCCCCCAAAAAAAACTGCTGGCCGCACTGCTGGTCTAGGATGTCGGGCCACCAGACGGCTAGCGTAGGCACCTCACGGCCAGAGCCGGGCAAACGGAGAGGCCTGCACAGCTTAATTCCGAGCAGTGAGCGCAAACAACTGTATGGCTGATCGGTTGTCCCTCAGCAGTGCCATGGTGTCTGACAAAAGCTGCACTTGTCCAGCTTTAAACGTCTGATAAAAAGTCGCACTTGTGTATTTTCAGGCCCTCCCCTGTTGCCGTGGGTGGGCAGCGCGCTGTCGTTTGACGTCGGTCACGGCCACTGGTCGTACAGCCGCTGGGCGGAGCGGTACGGCGGCATCTACCACGTGCGGCTGGGGCCGCTGCACCAGGTGGTGCTCAGCAGGCCGGACCTGATCCGCGAGGCGTTCGGTCGCAGCGAGGTGGCCGGCCGGCCCGACACGGCCCTCTCCGAGTTCGTCGTGCGCCGCCAGGGCCTGGCCTTCTCGGAGGGAGCGCTGTGGCAGTACGCGCGGCGGCTCACCCTGCACCACCTGCGCAACTTCGGCATGGGCAAGTCCAGGATAGAGACCTACATCCACCATCAGATCAAAGGCTACATGGATCAGTTCCTGACGCCCAACATCGGAAGAGCCGTAGAAATTGATCAAACGCTCAACGTCGCGGTGGTCAACATCCTCTGGAAGCTGATGGCCTCGGAGGAGCTGGACATCACCGACCACAAGATCCAGAACATGATACAGGAGATGATGGAGGGCGTCAACTACGCGGCCAAGCTCGTCATACTGGATGTCTACCCGTGGCTGAGAGCGATCCTCCCAGAGTTCGTATTCAACAGGGCGAAAAAGGAAAGAGAATTCGGTGAGACGGTTCGTCAGGCATTTACGCCAGCTTTGGAGGAGCATCGAAAGGAGCTGAATGTGAACGGTGAGCCGCGGGACTACATGGAGGCCATGTTGCAAGAGCAGCACCACCACCCGGAGAGCATGACCGACTGGCACCTGCTCATGTGCCTCCGCGGCCTCTTCATCGCCGGCAACGACACGACGGCCAACACGCTGCGCTGGGCGCTGGGCTTCCTCTGCCAGCGGCCGGACGTGCAGCGCCGGCTGCAAGGCGAGCTGGACTCGGAGGTGGGCCGCCAGCGGCCGCCGACACTGGCCGACCGGCAGCGGCTGCCCTTCACCGAGGCCGTCATCCTGGAGACGCAGCGGCTGGCCAATGTGGCGCCGGTACTGGTGCCGCACCAGACCACGGCGCCCGTCACCGTGGGAGGCTACCACCTCCCGGCCGGAGTACAGGTGATCGGGAACGCCTACTCGGTGCACTGCAGCGCCGAACTCTTTCCCGAGCCGTTTCAGTTCCGGCCCGAGAGGTTCGTCGATGCGCAGGGACAGTTCAAGCCGGACAGAAACGTGATGCCGTTCTCAGTCGGCAAGCGGCAGTGTCTCGGGGAGGCGATGGCGCGTGCCGAGCTGTTCCTCTTTCTGACAGGACTCCTGCAGAACTTCTCGTTCGCCTGGCCGGAGGGAGAGACCCACGATTTCTTGGAGGATGTAAAAAATCCTTCATTCGTTCTGAAGCCGGCACCGTATAAGGTCGTGCCAAGTCAGCGCTGAGCCCAGCCAATTGTGATGTTTGTCTGCAAACGCCAATACACTGTTTGTATGAAATTCCTGGTGTTGTGTCATGTTTACCTCTAAAATATCTAAATCGAATCCTTGGGATAAAAACTTTCCATTCTCAGAATAGCTAAGAGGCTTATGCATTTTAACCCGCGCCCCACTGGGGTCTGCGTATAACACGCCCTACAGGGGGGGGGGGGGCACTTCGGAGCCCCCCCCCCCCCTCCTAACTCCGAAACTACTGGGCCGATCGTCAAAATTCAAACGGTGTCTGATAGCCCTGGAAAAACTGTCGAACGAAACCTAATTTCATTGACCTTGAGGCCAGCGATGACGTCACAGGTCAGGTCAAAGGAGAAATTATTAGCATTTTGGCTTGTTCACATTTTGGGCTCTGGCCGCCGTCTTACAAGTCAGATCAAGCTCATTTTTGGTTTACACACTCGTGAATAGATGCTTTAGATACCCTGAGGTTGCCAAACTTGTACCTACTTTGATTTTCAGGTCAGGGTAGAGATTGCAATCCCGGCATCGAGATCCCGGGATCCCGGTGGGATTTTAATTCCGATCCCGATTTCGAATGTTCACCAATCCCGGGATCCTGACAAAATCAGTTTTCCACCAAAAAAGGAATGCAGCCGCTGCATGAGTCATGTTTAAACTTTTAATAATACTGCGTGACATAAAGCAGAGAAACTATTTAGCTGACACCCCGTCTTGACAGACCACAGTCGACCGTGTTGGTAGCTCTTGGGGATCACTCACAGCGGATAAGCCGCTTAAATCCGTACGAAAAAGGTCCCCGAACGCCAAAAATTGCAGCATCAGTGCTGCAGCATCTTCATCAGGATCACGGATCATTCAGCGATTCCGACTTTTCCGTCCGTGACCGGAACAAAAGAGGTCATCAAGACAGTCGTTGAGCTCGTGTCGCAGAAAAATGTCACAGATGTCACGCAAGTGACGGCAGAGCTCACTGATTCAGACGTTGAAGACGGCAGAGTGGAGCTCTCCCAGTCAGTGACTCGGCCCTCAAGGCGACTTTGGAGCAAAGTCTGAGAGAACTTAGTGATGAAAGCGGAACCGGAAGGAGGTGAAGTGACCAAGCGACGTCTTGAAAACATTGTGGAATAGGGAGCTGCCAAATTTGGGCGTACACTGGTCGCGAGTTTTACAATAGACTGACCTACCAGCAATGGCTTAAAACTGGACATCTTTTATGTGCCCCATGTATGTTATGTGACTGCAGCCGTAAGTGGGCCTGGAGCCTGTGGTTGTTTCGTGCGTAATAAACAATAAACAATAAACTGTCGTGCTAACTACAAGTAGCTTAGACGCAGATTGAGTGAGGCGTAGAGGTGTCGGGACCCGTCTCAATGACGAGACAGTAAACGCACTGGTCGACGCACAGTTTTATAAAGGCCAAGTGGGAATAAATGCTAGTCAAATTGAAACGCTTTCTTCACAAATTCAATAGTTTTTAATGCAAAGGACATGGTCTAAGGATGGCTTTTGGTTGCCTCTTTGCCTCTTTGTTTGTGGTAGGCTTAAAAACGCAAAATCTGGCAGTAGGAAATCATTCATTACGATCTTTTGTGACAAGACCGGGATCCCGGGATCCCAGGATCCCGAAATAAAAACTTTCGGGATCCCGGGATTGGCAAAACGTTCCGGGATTGCAATCTCTAGGTCAGGGTCAGGTCATCACAGGTCACGGAAATATTTTATCATGCGTCGGTCACGTGACACATGTTTATGGTCCATTTAGGCCATAGCTTTCGAATTTGATGTCGTTTGTGTCATTCGAGGTCATTTTGAGTTGAATTTAGCTCAGGTCAGGTCACTTTCGGGTCAAAAAAGGTCAAATTTTGAAGTTAACATTTTTCAACAAAAAAGGTGTCTATTGGATGCAGTTTGAGCTCAGGAACAGGATGGCGCTATTTACATTGGCGTATGATGTCAAATACGTACTGAAAATTGATTTTAAAAATTTATAATTGTGAAGTTTTTAATTTTTCAAATAAACAAACATAAACAAACTGTTCACGAACAAATGTGTTTACGAACAAGTGACGTCATCGGTCAAATTTTGGTAAACAAACAACGAACAGTTCGCGAACGTTCATGAACTGTTCGCGAACACGGTAAAGAGGGGGTAGATAAGACCCCCTCCTTAGCCATTTCGCTCCTAATTGAGATAGAACCTTGCGGAAAAAGCCAGCGTGTGCGTCTTTACAAACCACAGCGACTGGTATCCGATTTCAAGGTCTTACACCAACCGGTGACCGCCGAGGTCAGGTCAAGTGCCATAAAGTAGGGGTTTGGTTTTTGGTACATAACTTCGCCACAAATGGTGGCATAGCCGCGATTGTGGCACCATCGTGCTCGTCGTGGCCAGGCGCGTCGAATGATATGCTTTTTGTTTGGATTAGGTCTTTTTAGTATGTTGACCTCAGGACAAGGTCAGGTCAAAGCCACTCGGGTCACAAAGCTGCATGGAGGATGTTATGCTGCATATTATTCGATGTGGCAGTTCTTTCTGAGTTGATTGATGGCTCAACCGACTCGCTAGCTCAATTTGATCGGAAGCTATTAGCGAAAAGCTCCTACTGCACCAAACAACCTTAGTGGCGTCTTATATGACGTCATGCAAGGTCTTAAATGCACAATTTAAGCCTCAGCGTTGCAATACATATGAATCATGATTCAATGTGCTTGATATATGACTGGTGCATTTTTCACATGTAAAACATGTCTGCAGTCATGTCGGCACCGTATGATAACAGTTGCTCCAAAGATATCAGAAATGATGACTTGTTCATGAACGTTCACGAACGTTCACGAACTGTTCGTGAACAGAGAATCGTTGGTGAACATGTGACCTTGAACGCCAAAATTCGTAAACTATCAAATAAACAAACAAACAAACATTGTTCACGAACTGTTATGAACAAATATACAAACACCAAACCCTGAAGTTTGTGCAATAATGCGCACTGCGCAGTAGCGGCGGAACACCTTCAATTAAGGTGGGCACTGCCGACTTTTGGTCCCATTCGTTCCATGCAAAGCCCATAGGGCTAATGTTAAAATGCCAAAATCAAAGGGGGGCACGGTGCCCCGGTGCCCTCCCCGTTCCGCCGCCTATGATAATGCGTACCTACCAGTAAAACGCCTTTTGGGCGAAGAACGAGCGAGCGAGATAGTGAGCCCTGCACGTGCGGAAGGGCGATAGGGTACTTCCAACGGGCTTGTGCAAAGCACCTTTCTAACCGGTCGCTAGCGGTGTGCCAAATTTGAATGCAATCGGCCCAGCCGTTCCTGAGATCTGGAAGCGGCATTCTGCACGTGCGCACGTGCAAACGGGGTCCAAAATGACTTTTGCACGGCACCCTACTAACCGGTCCCCAACCGTGTACCAAATTTGAGCGCAATCGGCCCAGCCGTTCTCGAGATCTGGAAACGCCCCCTGCACGTGCGCACGTGCAGTAGCACCCTAACCGCAACACATGGGAATGTATTGTCTGGTGGGTGTCTGGTGGGAAACCTGTATGCCAAGTTTCAGCGAAATCGCCCCAGTAATTACCGAGTTACTGAAATGGGAACAAATTTGACACCTCTTCTTTTTGTATTTTGCACGTGCAGTGGGGGTCACTCACATAGATCAAGAGTATCCGACCTTTGGTAGAAGGGATGCAGCTACCCTATAAAAATTACCGCAAGACAATCGCTCAAGCCGCTGCTGAGATATGGGCCTCTCAAAATCATTACTTTTGCAAAACTGCTTGAACACCCTTGACTTTTCACGTGGCACGTGCCACGACGGTCACTGAGATGTATCAAAAGTAGTCAATTACGGGGTAGAAGGGATGGGGCTACCCAGCAAAAAAGACCGCAGGCCAATCGGTCCAGCGGTTGCTGAGATATAAGCCTCTCAAAAGCGTTACAGGCCGGGCCGGGCCGGGCCGCTCATACTGAGATTTTCCCGTTATATTGAAAAGACTTCGCTTCGCTCGCTGCGCTCGCTCGCTCGTAATAACTTGGCCATTTTTAAAGATATTTAGCTGAAAAATGCTAGAGTAAGCAATAAGCATGTGGTTTATCACATATGTTCCGTTTTTTTTTTTTCAAAAAGTCAAAAAGTTTTTGAAAAAAAGATAAAAATATACATTTTGAATATTCTTATATATAATTTTTAAAATTTTGAATATTTTGAAAATCCGAGATGGCAGTTTGATAGCAAAGTCATGGATGATATAACACTGGATTGGTGTCTCGTGGAAATTAAAGGAAAAGTGCCACCTTCGTGAAATATGAAGATATCGTTGCTTTTAATTTTGACATTATTATTTTTCATGTTCTTTTTAAATCTGGTGCCAGAAGTGCATAATTCGCAAAAAAGTATGTCAAACTATTTAACATATTGGTACTATGTTTGTACTCTCTACCGCACCTTCTGTATGATGTCATAGCGATGACATTACACTCAAGCCAATCAGCCTTCAGAAGACAGACTCGTCGGCTTGTGTCAGATTAGCTGATTGGTTAAAGCTGAGCTGATTGGAGCTGATTGGTTAAAAACCAAAGCCTCGCCGCGGGTGGCTGTATTACAGGATAAGAACGCATTCCTGGGATAAGGACGCATTCCTGGCATATTTTCTTTTAAAATTGCCGATACCTACGAATGGAGGCCGAAATCGGCCGTAAGGTGGGACACTCTCGTGGTTTTCGGACACGGGCTACAAGATGGCCATCTCAGTTTCAAACCCCATGTTAAAGGTGATCCTTTTCCTTTAACATTGGGATCCGCGACATTGGGATCAGGCCTGCCATCTAGCGAGAGAATTATCGTAAGTTAGGAGCAAGCCGAGTGAACGCCATCTCTCAGCATTATGACACACGTTGGTGTGGTGTGTTAGTTGGCTCGAAGTGCATATTCCCACGAGTTGGAGGTAATCTTACTGGACCTGAGACGACAAAAAATGTCTTAAATGCTTGAAAGCCAAAAACGTCAAGCAGCCTTTAGGTAATAACGAAAATAAAATGCG